TAGTTAGTACTAGATTATATCGGAGAGGCCGCAATTAAAATTAAAATTTGATGGATTTGTCATTAGACCAAGTCTAGAGCCGTTAAAACGGGCTTAACCCATGGGACCGGCCCAATCCAACCCCTTATTGGGGTAGGGTTGGGATAAGACTTTTCAAGCTCATTTAAAACAAGGCCTTATAAGCCCGGCCCATATAAGTCATTGGCCCTTGAGGCTTGATCAGGGTCGGGTCAGGGTCGGCCCATGGGCCAAAACTTTTTATTTAAGGATAACTTACAATAATCTTACTAGTATATTATCTAAGTACTTAAATACACGCTATGTTGTAATATTATGAATTTTACCAGATTTTGGTACGTTTAGATACATATATCTCGGAATATATGGACTCAAAATGAGGTTAATTTGTTCTAGATACACTCTATCCAAGTAGATTTGCATGTATATAGGATACATAGACAAATCTTGCGCCCTCGCCTCCCTCCCATCTTGCTTGTCAGTCTCTTATCTCACTTGCGTATCTGGTATGCGGATACATGCTAATTACACTAGATTTTTTGCTAGTGTTATTGAAACAACATCATTGTTTGCCATATTTGATTTGAAATCTTCTCTTTTTCTATATGTTATAGAATTATAAGTTTGAAAAGAAAAAAAAGGCCTAGCCCGCCCCAGCCCTCGGCTCTTCTAGGGTTAGGTTGGGTTGAGCATTTTTAGGCCCTTCCAAATGAAGGGTCGGCCTGCCCTAGCCCTTCAAATTTCTTGGCCCGCGAGACTTGGATCGGATGGAGCTGGGCCGACCCTTTTTGAGAGCTCTAAGACCAACCTTTTAAACCTTATAACACTTCTGTTTTTTATTTACACACGTTAAAAAAAATATTAATTAAGGTATAGTTTTTCTTCATTAATATTTACTCTATTTACATATCATGATTAAAGTGTTTATAGTCTTGAAGAATAATTACTACTAAGGATAAATTAGGGGGGAAAAATACATTCATATGACTCCATGATATTAGATGCCATATGGATTAGCATTTAATTATTTTTCTCTTTTTATTTAAAGTACATAAAAGAGAGATTGGAAAGATCATACATATACTTTCAGGAGGGACTTAATTAGTCAGTTAATCAGATGCTTAATTCCTCTAATGATGAATTGATATATTTTTTATTAGTTTGGATTAAAGGAATATTAACTAACAAATTAGATGAAGATTAGAAGGAATCTAATTCACACCAACATACATCGTATCTTTTGCTCTTTTCATTTTTTATTTATTGAGAAAAGATAATGTTAGGTAAAATCTTGATTTTAATATTAATTGTTACCATGCATCTTCCACGTGATTATTCTTAATTTTAACATCAACAAGTGTGACAAGAATAAAAGAATTATATAGGTTTAATTAGTTGGCTATATAGCTAGTCAATATTACTGTATTTTGGTCAAATTAAATTAAACAAAAACTCATGGAATATTTAATTTACACCGAAAGTATACATGGAGTACGTAATTCAAACAACAATAACAATATACGAGGGTCATCTCACAAGTAATATTTAAAAAAATAGATATACATAGATTTTTTCTCTATGTTAAATGAAATAAAAAGATTATTTTTGAAAAAGTTTGTAAATGAGAATCACTTACTATGTCATTATTTTAAATCAATTTTTGAATTGTATAGTGCAAATCAACCATAAATCAATATGCATATATTATTCACGTATTTAAGTGGCACATTTTTTTCCGACCTCTCAAGAGAATGTCATATCTTTATATTTAAAAATAATTTAATTTTAAAATTTTTATTATACCTTTAATGTTTAAGACTTATTTTAGATAACAAGTTTCAAAAATTTTATTTTCTTTCTTAATCAACTCTATCACTAGTCAAACTGTATCATGTAAATTAAAACTGAAAAAACATATAAATTTATAAAAAAATTACGAGAGATGATTTTGAATTTGCTACGGCAATACTATACAACCACTATAAGTTTGTCATGGAATAGTAATCACTAAGTACTCTTTCAATATCTTTAATCAAACATCTCATATTCGAGTTCTGAGAATAGAATCGCAAGTGCTTTACGCTTCAAAATAGTACTTTTCAGCTCGAATTCAAATTAATCAGACTCCAATACAAATATTAAACACGAGTAAAATCTTAAAAATAAAATGATAGGCAAACACCATTTAAGATAACACTTCC